TTTATTCGATTTTTGGGAGCATCTTATGTTTTCAAGATTTCTCCTACAAAACTTGATTGAAGAAACTTAAAAGCTAGATATTCTTGATTAGCTTCGCGAGCTCTATCGAACCAAGTATAAATCAAGGATGAACATTTTTCTGTGCGACTTCTGCATTTCCGACAGGTTAGCTAGACATGTATTCGACTGTACGGCCTGTATTACCTTCCGAATGAAGTAGTTGAACGTGGTCGTTTATGTCTTGTCGTAGATCAGAGGAAACAGCTGACATGATTAGCCTATCTGTTAACATAGCCTCTTGCAACGAATCTGTATTTGTACGATCATTAACTAAAATGCAGCGTATTTTTCAGGAAAAGTTGTAAGAGAAGAAGGTTAATCATACTTGAAGAAACCTCAATTTCATTCAACACATCCTGATACTGTTGAATTTCATTGCCATTTGTATTTCCGCAGTTTTCGTTCCTGTCTTGGGGCGGCCAAATTTGTTCTTCGTCTTCTTCTAATCCGCTTTCATTATTTATATCATTTGTTCCTTCCACATCCGCATCATCATTTTCTTGTGGCTGATGCCCTTCGACATATTCTAAAAGAAGTACAGTTTTGAAGCTGTGTTGAGATGATCCAATCATAGATCAGGAACCAAAATTTTGTTCACTCCTCATATGATATGGAATCATGACATCTAATATCTCAATTTCGAATTGTTGTTCTAAAAAATTTTGGCTTTTGTTTTCCACACTCTTGTCACTGTACAATCAGACTTACTCTCATTTTATAGCGTATTGATATCCTGAATACCTCGCACAATTCTATTGAAAACATTAGGTGTCGGCATGTATTGACAGATGGACAAGAATTGCTCTGTTTGGTTTTGAAATCTTGACACTTTAAAATTAATACGTGATGTTGGTCGTGTTGAACTTGTTGATTTCTTTTAGGCAGTAAATTGGTTAATATCACTGAATTCAAATCGGTTGGCATAGTTACCGATTGATTTGTGAATAATTGAAATAATTTTTGAAGATCATTAGGTGGTATCAGATGGACGTCGCGTTGATCGTACGCGTCATTTGACGTTTCATCATCGACTGAGCCACATGCCTCAAAATATTGTTCATAATGTTGCTGATTGTCTTTCAAATACTGACGCATCTCGTCAGCTGGTTTGTAGTTCTTTGGGATCCCGGAACGAGCGTGATTTTGTAAATATTCACTGATGGTCACGTGATATTTAGCCAATTTTTGTTTGAATTTGTCGCGTTCAAGTTGTCCATCGGATGGGAATAGGCGATAATAGGCGTTCGATTTTTTCCCACCTGAATGTATTAGCATCGCTCTCATTGAAATCAGAAGACCGTCATCCGCTAGTTGCTGTAAACAAGACTGTCGTTCGTCGGCAGACGTACGTTGAAATGGCGCCTTTTTTTCTGTGCCCGGATATTTCGCCAACCAGCCAAGCATCAAAAAATTATGTGCAAAATCAACGAGAATGAATTGTTCAAGTGTACGTTTTGACTGTGCCGCTGTTGATAGCGATGATGGAGTGTCTTTTAGCGCTACGGTAAGAGTAGATAGAATCATGGCATTGACTGTTTCGATTCGATTCTGAGAGTGATTGTACAATGCTAATGTATGTCGAAGAACACTATAGGCTAAATTAGCTGCACGTTTACACGAGGCGATCGAAATGAATACAACTTGACGTTTTGTTCTAATATTGACAGGTGCTTTTGAGAAAAATATTTCTCTCAATTTAGACTGAATGATGACTAACCATTTTGCATCAAGAGCCTTTTATTCACCGTCTTCAAATTTGTATTGATCGATCAAAGCTTCAGCAATTTCACAGGCGATATCGATCGCTCTCGTCACAGAACAGATACGTGGTACGAGTTCCATAAATTTGGCAATAAAATCAATATCGGATTTTTCAATTATATTTTGTTTTTCCTGTTCTTGCGCGTCGAGCACTAATTTACCTGCGAAGTTTGTATAATAATTGTGAGCATTTTCATTCTCATTCACTTGATCATTAAACCATTCGTTTGCTGGTGTTGTTCCATGTGGAAATTGATAACTAAAATATAACATCACGTTTAAACAGTCATATCAACCGCTTTTGCTTACTCTTCGACTTTTGCTGGCTGATAGATAAACAAAAATTCAACGTTTCGCAGTTCGGCTGCAATCATATAAAAAAGTGAAAATGATGGCAAGCTAGTGTCGATTTGACGCTTATCAGCATCTCGTGGCATAATTGGTGGTAATTGTTTTTGACACAAAAATAGCATCCTATTGATTAATCCTTTGCCAGATGTTTCAGTGATCATGTCTTTTATAACTGAACCGAACCGATCACCTGTGGAGGCACCAGTCATTGAGACACATCCTTCGGCTACATGAATGTTTTTGCCCGCTACATGACGCGTTAAATTTTTTGCTCCATCAAACATTTTTATTGAAATTGACATAGCTTCGCTGCCTTTTGGTGAATCTTTACTTTCCAACAAATCTAAAGTGACAAACA